TTTATAAAAAAAAAAATAATAATAATAGAGAGAGAGATTGTCTTTAATTTTACAAATTTACACTGTTTTATTTGACTCCAATACCTTTATTTTTTATATATTACATTTAATAAAAATATCTCATTTCGATTGTTAACTTTCTCAAGTGCCGTACTTTACCTCAAGATTTTGGTTGTGATACGTGACATGATTACAAAAATGGTAATTTATGTAGCAAACAATATTTAAAGTTAAAAATAAAGATGCATGGGCAAAATGGTATTAACTCTAAATTAGTATTAAAATAATAGATTTATCTATATTTTAAGTTGTAATAAATATATTTTTTATAATTAATTTACATAAAAAAATTATAAAAATTAATATTTATTTTAACATTATTTATATGTGAATTATTTTAATTAATTATTAATTTAAAATTAACACTTATATTTTTATACAAATTAATTATAAAAATATATATTAATTACAACTTAAAAGTACATGTTAAAAAAAGTAAAAATAATATTAGTTAAGTTTCCACACTGTTAATTTAGAAGTTATTTTTTTATCATATGGTTTGTAGAATTTGAGAATTGTGAAAAAAAAAATGTTCGCTTGATAGCATTTAGTAAGTGTACGATACGTGGGGGAAAAAAGGGGTTATTGAAATGACATGGTATATATATAGGAAAAAGAGAAAATTATGATGTTTTAATATTAAAAAATATCAAAACATCTAATAATAATTATATAATAAATTTGATAAATTTAAAATTTATATTATACTTCACATATGAAATGGTTATAATTATACGTCTTGACATTTTTACTGTTAAGATATCTTAATTTTTTCTTTTATCTTATATCTATTTCTTAAAATTATTGTTAAACAAGATTAAATAAACGTGAGAAATCCTTGTGACTCAAATGATCACTTATATTTTATAAAGAATCATCTGGTGTGGGGTTGGTTTGAGTCTTACCCTTGTATTTCCAAAAAAAAAAAATAAATAATAAAAAGTTGAGCGAACCGATATCTTAAGGTAGGAGACAAGGAATAAATTATTTTGATTATAAAGTAGAAGCAAAGACAACAAATGAGTTAATTAAGAGGCTTTAAAAGATTTTATCACTGACATAAAATATTTCTATATCCTTTTAGCTAGAATTCGTAAC